TGTTATAAATGTTGGAACCTAGAAACCTGATGTATTTTCAGAAAATACTAGCTGAATTTTTAAATCTGTTGTGCTAGAGCAGTATTCTATATTTCAGATTTTTAGCTGTTTTGATCGCATGTAATTGTCTCCACTGTTATATACTGATTTAGTATCCTTTTACCTTTGTGTCTTAAAGTTTGAAATCTTCCTTTATCTGATGAGTCATAAGAGATGCTGCTATAAGGGCAATGACCATCAATGAACTCCTCCCATAACAGCAGATTTCTAGATGAGGTGTTTCTAAAAGCTCGGATTGGGTGAATCTCTCATTCAGGACTACAAAACAAAGGATGCCATCAAAAATTCATAGAGAATCCAAGTTGAATATTATGAGCTAAAGATGTGGTTAAAATATATATGAAGTTAAAATATGCAGATGAGGAGAGTATGTCATAGTTATTATCACTTTTTATTCCCCAAAAGCAACTTTTCGTGTTCTTTGAATGTAACAAAATTAAAATGAATACTCATAAGTCTCCTAGATCAGTCTTAAAAATAAATCAGCAGCTAAGGCCCACTTCCTCCATCTAGGATACTGTAGGGCCTTCTCTTGCCTCACCTGGCCTTGTTGAGGGCACTTGGAGCTGTGCCCAGGGTCAAACCTAGAAGCCAAGCTGTTGATCCTTTGCTCACCCTCAATAAACAGCCCTAAGGCATCCTCACTTCTAACCATTTGACAAACACCCACTAAATTTAAAAGGTTGGCCAATAGTACTTTTTTCACTGGAAATGGATCAAAGGAAATATAATTGATCAGGTAAAGTTACAGCCAATGGGAAACAAACTGAAGGTTTGCAGGTATAAGTGGCTTCCTATCTGCCTCAAGAACAGCGATTTGTATGGAAGTCACAGACTTAAAAATAGTTATCAACCATCTCCACCCTCTCTTTGTACCCTGCAGGGTCTACAGTCACAGCAATGGGAGTGCTAGCATGCCTTTTCTATTTTAGAAGCTGAGTGAATGTGCTCATGATAAAGCTTACAGTAGGATGAGAAGAGAATTAGCCTTCTCTGAGCATTGTGTAAGTGATGCTCACTGCCCTGCCTTTGTATGGTTGGTATTATAAAGTAGAGGGGGAGAAATAAATGATCAGAAATCCTGGGCAAGGTCAGTGGAGTGAGCAAGAAAGGGGAGGGAGGGTGGTGGAAGAAGGAGAGATACTTATTTATACTGTTCTTTTCTTACAGGGATCGTTCCAGCCTAAGAATTGAATTATGTTGAAGAGAAAAGCTGCCATTTTGAAGATTCTGTGTGTTCTTTATGCTTATAGGTGTGGGACGCAGAGTAAATGCCCACTGTTTGGCAAAGAGAGTTCATATGCCTTAAAAATGCCCCACACTAATGTGGCATGGGGTGTGAGAAATGGAACTCAGTGCACATTCCCAGAAATTTGAAATGCAGGAGGGGTGGGGAAAGGCATTGGTGGAAGAAGTCCAAGAAGACAGAGGAAATCTTTGCCTAAGGAAGCCACAGCCTGGGAGAAACCCTCCACAGAGGAGACTAGTGGTTTGCTGTTGTCTGGTTTTTAGGTGAAGCAGTCAGGTTTGCTGTGCTGTCACCGTAAACCTTCAGGAAAAGTCTGTTCTTTGCAGTGGCCTGTGTTGGAGAACTTTGGAAGAATAAAGCAATTGGGCATAGGGAATGACATAGGGTATCCAGGGACAGAATACAGGACAGCCATTGTAGAAAGTAAGAGGCAGGGAGCAGGTAAGAGAGTCAGAGGAAAGTAGGACATGAGAGCAAGAAGTGGCCATAATCTGTGTCGGGATCCAGAAGCTGCCTGCGTCCTTGGTTCTTGGGATGCTCTTGGCCAAAGAATGACCAGCCACAAAATAAGGTAAGCATGAAACAAAGTTTACTGAGAAAGAGAAAGATAGGTTTACAGAGTAAGAAGTTTTACAAAGCAAGATACATTTGCCATAGACAATGCTAGGCCCCTTTGTCACGACAAGAAAAAGGCCTTGCTTATGGTCTGGGGTTTTGTTTTATACTGCCTGGATTGGGCCCACCTCGTCAGTCAGAGGTTACCTTGGAACAAGAGTCTTACTGCACATGTGGACCTCCTCTCTCTCAAAGCATATGGTGACGGTCTGGACAGCAATGCAAATTTAAGCTCATGTCATGATTGTTAGCTTCAAGGCTGTTAAGGTCTCAAAGCTTAAGGTCACCCTCAAGACTCTATACAGCTTGGCCTGTGGGCTACAGAGTCCTCTAATCTTTTTGTAGTTGGCACACTAAGCTCTGAATGGCAGATTTGTAGGGTGATCCCTCCGCCCAGGTGTGATTAATCAGGGTTCAGGTGAACTGAGATGGAGGCCTGGGGGACCTGCCCTTGTCCTTTATACCTAGGAGAGAGAGCCAGGTTCCTGGCAATCTACCTACCAGATGGAGACCCAAGAACACCAAGGGTGTGAGGGCACAGATAAAGGGATCCTTGAGGACAGGGATGTTGAGTTTCCCAATGAATACAGGAATATGTATTAAATATTAAAGCACAGGGTGATGCAGAAACCAGTGCCTGTGGGAACAGCCAGATGGACAATGCACAGTTAAATTATTAACTCCTTTTAACTGGACTTGAAGATTATCTCCCTGATGTCATGGAATTAATAAGGGATATTGTTTTGAACTCAAAAGCCTAACTTCTTTTTATTACACTTCACTCTATTTCCAAGAAATATGTGTAATAGCTAATATTTATTGAGTCCTTGCTATATAGCCAGATTTGTGCTACATTGAATCAGGTATTATTATACTCATTTTATAGCTGAAGAAACTAAAGTCTAAAGAGATTATGTAACTCAGCAAACAAAAACTTACTTATAAGTTTTTCTAACTCTAAATTCCCAATTCCTAACTAGTAGCCAGGCAGTAGTTAGTGGGATGCTATCAACTGAGTTGATAACGTAGATGTCCACCTGCTGACTAATCCCTATTGTGGGTTATTCACATTAACAAATTCATTTACTGGCTTTGTAGGGAAGAAGAGGTTTTTTACAAAAAGCTATCACCTACACTATTAGGAAGCAAATTGAAAACAGTAAGTTATACTGCTAACCTTGACAAGATATTCAGGGATGAACAGTGCTAAACTTTAGGTAAAATCTACCTTTTCTCAAATGAATTTCAGAATTCCCTAGAAGAAAAAGATGACTCATGACAAAGAAAAGTCCTTTAAAAGCATCTTTTTATTTACTATAAGAATATAATCTGCATTTCTATACAGTCCATCATGCCAAAAACGTGAGGCATTTTACAAACAGTGCAGAATCTCAACATCTATACATCTGCTCAATTAAAACATTAGCAAAGATTGAAAAATCATATTTTAGGAGAAAGGAATACAGTAGGAGCTTACTTTCTCTCCCAGAAACATGGCTTCCAACATCAAGAAGCACGGACAGGAAAGTACAACCACATGGAGTCTCAATATCTAAGACAGAACTATGGAGAGATTAATGAGAAATATCATTTGAGGAGGCCACTACCGCCACAGGCCTCCCCATGGTGGAGCCAAATGTCTCTGTGTCACAAGGTAGAAATTACCTACTGAATTAACCTAATTCAGATGCAGTAGACACCCTCAGCTTGAAGAAGGGTCTTCTTGTCCAGAAACCAGGCAGGGAGCTAAGAATTATAATTGCCTCCCTTACAACAAAGTCACAGTGATTTGTCTTTTTGTTTAGCAATTAAATTTCCCTGAAATACATCGAAAAGCACATTATAAACAAACTGCTCAATAGCACAATGGGCACCAAACTCTAGAGCTCACTCAACATGAATAGCTGCAATTTATTAGAAGGGAACTGTGAGCAATGAGAGGAGAGAATACGAAACCTTTTACAGTCCAGCCTTGGAGGTTGTGGCCAGCAAGGAACAAACAGCTTCTTTGTGGAGCTGTCCTGGAGAGCTTATCCTAAATGTGAGATGCTCTTAGCTACTTCTGTTGTGCATCTGTTACTCCCCAGCCTGGGCAATAATAATCTAAGGCTACACTATCGTTAATCTTCATCACAAAATGCAGAGTGGGGATTATAAATCCCACTTTCTCATTAAGCAAAATGAGGGTTTAAAAAACTACACAATTAGGCCAATGACCTGCAATTAGTTATAGACAGAACAGGACGAAGATCAGAACTGCCTGAGAACAAACCTAGTTTCTCTGCTGCACAAGGCTGTTTCTAAAGGGATTGGAAGCTATCTCTGGTCTTGAACTGTTCCTTGTCATTTCTTTGATTTAAGCCTTAAAGTAGAAACTCTAGAGAGAGACACAGAGGGTTGAAGAGGTCACCATGAAGGGAGGTGAGTTAGAAAGCCTTCTATTCCACTGACAGCTGTGAGTGCAACTGGGACCCCAAGGGGCTTTAGGTTTGTTATCTACTGAGAAGATGATCTGAAATTTTACTTAAAGGCATCTCTAGAGTTAATGGAGAAAAATCTGGAAATAAGCGATTAAAACTAGGTTCTGCATTTTATCCTCACCTGTTCTAGGACCACAGAACCAAACTGACGTCTCCTGTGGTGAATCTCAAACCTGGACTCTTTAAGGTATGATTTTTAGCATCTGCTACTGTGGGTGGAAGTAAAGGATTAGAGGAAAGCTGCCAAATGCATCTCCTGCAAACTTTTAAATCCTTAAAGTTACACTGAGGCTACTGGGCATGAGGCCCTGGGTTAGAAACCAAACAGGTCTTGATTTTTTATTTAACTTAGACCTGCTTTGTAAAGCCTGAATTCTGAAATATCCTCGAACACAGTTCACTACTCTTCTCTTCCCTTTAAGATTGTTACAGTCAGAGCACAACTTTTGTTTTGAGTGAATTTACTTCAAAAGTTATGTTTATTGGAATTTTAAACAAATGTATTTAAATTTTACGTAGGTGTGTGTAACATTTAAAAAGACATTTTTTATGAATGCATTTCTTAATATGGTGATTATTAAACCAGTATTCTTATTGGGGCACTTCAACCTTTAAGGATGAAAAAAGTGGCACCAGGAAGAATTTCATTTTTTCTGAACAGTTTGTATCATTATCATTTGAATTTTGGTCCCATTTAGATGCTGAAAGACTATACCATAAAAGCCACATGAAACAGCCTTCTAACTAATTTGGTGCTGAAGTCTGAGTTGATCCTGAATCCAACCATTGATGAGTGTATAAGGGAATGACAAAGGGGAACCACGAAGGCTTTTGATTTGCCTTAGTGAAGTCAACCATGCTAGTACCTGCCCCAGTTGTGTCCAAGGGTCTTGGAGGCACATCCTCCGTGGCCAGTGAGTGCTGAGAGGCACCTGGCTGGGCCCTCCTTCACTCCTTCTCTTCTTGCCCGGAATCTATTTTCTGTTCCAGTTACGTGAGATGTTCTGGATCTTTTTCATTTTGATCCTCTGATCCAGCATCTTGTACTTTGCAGGATGCTCATCAGTTTTCTTTGGGACTGAAGGTGCGTAGGAGCTAGATGCGTAAGCAGGACGTTTGAAATGACGCAAAGGAGGCTTGATGACTGGAGCCCATGGAAAGGAAGACAGACAACTGTTAGGCTCACAATGTCATGGCACAACCTAAATACTGAAAGCAACTTCCTCTTTTTTTTTTTTTTTTTTTTTGAGATAGAGTCTCACTCTGCCCTGGGTAGAGTGCTGTGGAGTCATTGTAGCTAACAACAACCTCAAACTCTTGGGTTCAAACAATCTTCTTGCCTCAGCCTCCTGAATAGCTAGTTCTACAGGTGCCCACCATGACACCCAGCTAGTTTTTCTATTTTTAGTAGAGATGGGGTCTCACTCTTATTCAAGCTGCTCTTGAATCCCTGAGCTTGAGCAATCTTCCTGCCTTAGCCTCCCTAACTGCTAGGATTACAAGCATGAGACACCGTGCCCAGAATGTAACTTCCTCTTGACCTGTTTGTTTCCTCCGAAAACCAGAAAACAAACAAGTTAGGATTCTGACTGGGAACGTTATGACAGATAGATGAATAGACATATTATCACCTTGACTTTTTTTTTTCTTTCCCATTCAAATTTCCTTTATTATTTCTTATAGCATAACTGTGTACATTAATGCAATCATGGGGTACAGTGTGCTGTTTTCATATACATTTTGAAATACTCTCATCAAACTGGTTAACATAACCTTCATGTCATTTTCTTAGTTATTGAGTTAAGACATTCATACTCTGCTTTTAGAAAGATTCACTTGTACCCTTGTAAAATAAACCATAGAGGCGATCCCACCCATCACCTTGACTTTTCACATAAAGACACTGCCAATCTTAGATTTTTTGACAATGAATGGATAGACTTAAGAAAGTGAGAGGGGCAGTGGAGTCACATTTGGGAATAGCAAAGCAAACACAGTAAGCAGAGGCACACCATTAACAGTGTCTAGTGTTATATGCAAGCTTTTAGTGTTAGAAAGTGATGCTCAGTCCCTAAGTGCTAAAAAAGTACAACAGTGAGAAGATATTTCCAAACACATATAATCTTATATCCAAATATAGAAAGAATTCTTAAAACTCAACAACAGGAAACAAATATTCCAATTTAAAAATGGGCAAAAGATCTTAACAGACTTCTCACCCAAGAAGATACACATATCAAATGAGCACAGGAAAATATGGTCAACAATTTTTGCCATTAGGGAATTGCAAATTAAGATAACAATGATAAACTACTATATACCTGTACAATGCTAAACTACAAGGGGGAAAATGACATTATGCATTGCTGGGGAGGATGCAGAGCAACAGGAACTCTCATTCTTATTAGTGGAAATGTGAAATAACATACAGCTGTTTTGGAAGACTTGAGAAGTGCGATCAGATTCTTATGAAGCTAGACATAGACTTACCATAGAATGAAACAACTGTGCTCCTAGATGTTTACCCAGTGATTGAAAACTTAGGTCCACATAAAAACCTACACGTGAATTTCTGTAGATGCTTTATTCATAATTGCCACAAATAAAGCAACTAAGATGTCCTTCAATGATTGAAAGGACCAATTATGGTTTATCTATACAATGGAATTATTCATTGTAATAAAAGAGACATGAACTTTCAAGGCATACAAAGACACGAAGGAATCTTAAACACATATTGCTAAGTGAAGAAATCAGTCTGTAAAGCCTGCATCCTGTGTGATTTCATTTAACTGACATTCATAAAAGGGAAAAACTAGAGATTATAAAAACATCAGAGATTTCTAGGGGTTGGATGGAGAAGTGATGGTTAATAAGCGAAACACAGAGGATTTCTAGGGAATTGAAACTATTTTATAGGATACTGTGGTGGTAGATACTTGACACTAGGCATTTATCAAAACATGAAACTTTATAGCACAGGAAGTGAAAAAATGTATGCAAATTAAAAAAACTACTTAGGAGGCTGGAGGGATCTCAGAATGGAATGCAAACTGTTAACAAGACAATCTAAATGCATTGCAAATGTAGAAAACAATCTCATTAAAGAGGGTGGAGGACAAAATGCTCACCTACCTAACTTTGGATGTGAGTAGAGTTTATAAGACTAAAGGCCAAAGAACCTGCATACAAACACTGTATTCTAATTGATAACAGTTGCCTCCCATGGGGGCACCAGTTAACAATTCTAATACCACTTTATGTGTATATTGGAATCAAAAAATAATGTACATGGAGAGTGGGTGGTAAAAACTATTGGTATGGGAATTTACATATAAGCAAAAACAGAAGGGTAAAATGATCTACGCAGTAATGGATTAAAGTTGGGTGTTGCAGGAAGACGAGGCCCAATGGAGAGAAACAACACCCAAACACTGTTTAAAAGAGGAAGGGCTTTATTCCAGCTGGTGGAGCAATGGCAGACCCAGAGTCCCACAATGGCCTCAGTCTGCAACTGGCTCAGTCTTCTCCTTTTTATCTGCAGTCAAAAAGTTCCAGCCTATGGGTAACTTGCTCATTGGTCAGTTTGAATCAAGCTGGAGAAGTGGGCTCAGATTTTACAGAACTGCAGGCTTTTACAGAAGCAGAAGGAAGCATTAGTTTTCAGATCCTAGGAAATTAAAATTTTTTACAAATTCTTAAGAGCCGAGTCACCATGGGGTGAACCTTGTAGGTATATCCTTGAGGTCTTCTTGAGAAGACCTCTGTTCTCTCAAACCTTACTTTTCCCAGGTATCCTCTCTCATGGAGACATCAACATGAACTCATATTTAGTTTAATGCAGGTATAGATTAAGTTAAAAATATTTATAGATATGTTCATATGCCTGGGTGAGGACATATATGTCCTTGCTCTATCAGCTGAAAGAGTCTAGCAGCAATAAATACATCCACGACCCAGATCTTAGTTTCTAATAGCATTCTCCAATAAAAACAACCAGGGGTCCTTGTAGAAATAACTGCCTTTAGGAGTAGGGCACAAAATACACAAAATGTCCCCTGGAACATCTTATAGAGCCAGAAAATAAAAAAGTGCTCAAAAACAAATACAATCATAGACAAAAAAGTTCTACCTAAATGCATCTACCAAACAATATGAACAACAAAATAAATAAGGACATATCAGATTCTAAACAAAGTATAAAATAAATATCCATTAGTCCATACTGACATAAACAAACAATTGAATAAATAAATCTTTGCAGGGAAATAGACAAATATCATATGCAGAACAGTTATAAATAATTTATGTAGCTATGCCTCCCTCAAGGAGAAGGAGCCCCAGGTGTGCTCTGGACAATGACATTCTTTCAAAAAAGTATAGTCTAGAAAAGGAATGAAAGAGTAACTTTACAGTGGAGAAATCTGATAGACATGACCTCATCTAGGAGATCAAGGGTGACATTAATAGCAAAACATTGTGTCTGTAGTATATACCCTTTCATTATGTGATGAAAATTAATTTGTACTGCAAATAGAACTTCACCTCTATGGTTTTCCTCTCCAACATATGAGCTCTGAAAATTAAGTTTACAAACTTGCCATTGTGCGCTTACATCAGCAGCACTATGCAAACAACTCAGTAAGGTTTCATAACCTTGGTCTATCGGTGTCTCACAGCTGTATTTGTGTGGTTGCGTGGCAGTGTCTTGCTGAGTGGCATCCATTATTGTTGCATGATTTTGTGAGCTGTCATGAGAATGTCAAAATTGAATCAGAGCAATAAACAAGCAATAAATTTCTTGTGAAATTTGACAAGAGTGGAAGTGAAATCAGGGACATGTTAGTCAACGTTTATGGGGATATGCCATAAAGAAAGCTATGGGGTAAAAATGGATTAAATGTTTTTCTGAGGGTGGAGAAAGCATCCCTGATGAAGAGAGGTCAGGGTGGCCAGTAAGGAGTACAACTGATAAAAACATTGCAAAAATTTGTCAAACTGTGTGCCAAAATCATTAGCTAACTGTGAGAACCATAGCAGACGAAAGAAACATTGATTGAGAAACAGAAAAATCTTAACTGAAAATCTTGGCCAAAAACTCATGGCTCTTGTATCATGACAATTCACCAGCTGACACAGCACTGTCTGTGAGAAAGTTTTTAGCCAGTAAACAAATAACTATATTGGAACACCCTCACTACTCACTTCATCTGGTCCCCAAAGGCTTTTTCATTACTCAAAGATAGAAGAAATACTGAAAGGAAGACATTTTGACCACATTCAGGACATAAAGGGTAATATGATTACAGCTTTGATGGCCATTCTAGAAAGAGTTGCACAATTGTTTTGAAAGGTGGACAAGGCATTGGCATTAGTACATAGCTTCCCATGGGGAGTACTTTGAAGGTGACAGCAGTGACATTCAGTAATGAGATACGTAGCACTTTTTCTAGGACAAGTTTGCAAACTTAATAGTCAGACCTCATATATAACCCAATTCTAATAATGACAAAAACATCAGATAAATCTTAGTTGAGGGACATTCTAAAAAATACCTAACCACTATTCCTCAAATCTGTCAAGGTCATCATCAAAAATGAGGGAAGTCTGAGAAACTGTCACAGCCAAGAGGAGCCTAAGGAGTGATGATGACTAAATGCAATGTCCTTGGATAGGTGTCCTGGAAGCAACAAAAAGACACTGGGTAACAAACAAAGAAAGCTGAATAAAGTATGGACTTCAGACAGTAATGATAATGATGGAGTATATCATCCAATCTGCAGTCTATGCACAGAAGGGAAAGTCCTGATTGGTTGATTCTTCTTCCCTCCACTCCACATTACCCCTTCTGGCTTCTGCTGAAAAGTATTTGGACAGTGAGACAAGGTAAATATGAATAAAGGTAAAAACCATAATAGTTACATTATGATCACAGATGGTAAAGACTGGCAGGAACAGAGCCAGGGCTCACTCACTGGCATGGAGGCCACTCCACTCTGGGTCGACTGGAAGAACCATGGTGGGGAACACCTCTGCCACACCACTGAGGCTCCCCTTGTGAAAAAACAGCTCAGCAAATCTCTTCCAACAAAAGGAAAAACACGTGATCAAAGATTAAAAACAACTTAAATGGACATTCAAAGA